AATTTGTATTAGGCCTTATGTCTGTTAAAAGTATACACATCGGTAAAAACGAGACGATTTTATTACACATCTGGCTTCAGCGTTCTTTAAATATGTTGGCACTCTTATTCTATATCTAGCGTATGTCTGATTAAACAATCAATTTCCAAAACTCGCTCACCAACCAACCTTCACAATGCATCAAAACGTTCATGGTCAATGTATCTTCCTGTCCAGCTCCGACGGCCCATGGCCTTCAATCTTCAGATTACCACGGCGTATTTCATCTTCCTATCTTCATTTCAATTCCGCCGTCTAAGCTGGGATGTTCTCGTTTCACTGATGTGTGCTTAAGAGATAAGATACGCTGTTTTACCTGGAAAGGAAGAGTTCCTCCTTAGTGGGCGATTTGTTGAGGAATTAGATTTCTTAGAAATTTCATTGTTGTCTGGATTAGGAATGGGTATTAAAAGGAGGGATTCTACTTTTGTTAAATGGCGTTAAATTGGGCCTGTTGTGAAAAGGTGGGATAATCTTCTTTGGTTAAGCCTACCACCACTCCAAATCCTCCCAACAGGTATTTTTTTTAACCAGAACTTATAATTATCTATCTGTTCGGAACGGTCTTTTCTTTGTTTTTATTTATCAACATATTTTTTTTAAATACATAACAGTTAATATTACTAAAAAACGAATTTAACTTATTGTTTTAAAAAAATGTGTGGTGTATAGTGACCGTTAGCCAATGATTATTGGGAGATGGTGAGGTGCGGTCTGGTGTGACGTAGTTTTTAGAAAAACATTTTCTTTATCGTGCCAAAGTTTCGTGTATTTGTTTTCCGTGTAGATCTGTCATACTTCATACACGACACACAAGAATGACATTAACTAGCGGTCACTAAACACCACACATAAAAAAGTAATCTTTAAATAATAACAAACGTAACTTCTACCAAGAGAAAAAACTAACAAATAGACATTTGTAAGGGTTTAACATTATAAAGTTAAATGACAGGTGTAAAGATACATTATCAACATCATAACATGTATTGGTACAATATTGGTACTTAATACAGGAACAGGAGGGAAAAAATTAATATTACAGTTTAATATTTTTACACATATTTTGATATAAAATAATTTTTTAGTTTTTTTCTGAAGATACTTATTATGTTACAATGCTGAATTTCAATTGGTAATTTTGGAAACACTCTTAATTTTTAATTGCAAATGAATTATTAAATATTGTGGTTCTATGTTTTATAATTTGTAATTGCTTCGTTTTATATCTAGTGTTTATATTATGTACATCAGATCTATATTTTATCTTTTTATATTTGTATGTAGGTTTTTTCATTATTAACACGTGCTAAATTATAATCAATTAAATCATTAATTTTTTTAAACTGGAGTCAAGAATATTTGTCATAAATTCTCTCATCATATTTTAAGTTAAGTACATACTTTACACACATATTTACACCAACTTGTAGTTTATTGATTTGCATACAATGTAAGCCACACATTGCAGCTATTCCATTTTTGATAGTAACATTCGCAAAACCAACTAATTTTTTACCCTATAAATAGTAGAGTACATTTTCTTAATCACATTCAAAATTTGTTCAGTCCAGTTTAAATTTTTATTCAAATAAAGACCTAAGCAGCTTTTTAATCAGATTTTAGTCTTCATAATCCAATTCAACGTTCTATATTTTTATCTACATTTACTTTTTCAATTAATTTATTATGTCCAATTATTTTTTATTTACATTTTTTAGGACTGATTTTTAACGGAAAGAGAGAGAGAGAGAGAGAGAGAGAGAGAGAGAGAGAGAGAGAGAGAGAGAGAGATTTACGTCAGGCCTCAAAGTTTGTCGAAATTATTTCTGATAAAATATTAAGAAATGTTATAGTGTGCATTGCTGCTGTGGGACAGACCGAAAACATCCATCGAGGGCAGATTAAAATGATCGGTATCGACAAAATTACAGGTTAATCATCCAGCAAGACCCACATAAATCTCGTAATGTACTTCTTAAAATATTTAAAAAAAAAATTAAAAAATTGAAATTGACGAAAATGCTTTTTATAAAGCAGTATTGTGTTTGAAAAAGGTTTTAACCCAGTGGTAGACCTAGTTCTCAGTTAATTTGGTTCTGTTAATATTTATTTTGTTAGTTCCCGTAAACAGCCGACACATATTATTAAAACCCACACTAAAATATTCACACATGTAATAATTTATTACTAAGCCTTGAAGACATTTTTATTGTTATATTTTCTCTACTAGCTAGTGTCACAACTTCATCCGGTGTGTCACCTACCTTGACTAAGACAACCTCAGCAAAGGAAGTCAAACAGATAGTCACGTTCACACCTATTCTCCTGAGAAATCTTTCAGTTAAAACATTTTTTATTTATTTCGCAGAACTAACAATATGTTTATCTGTTCTTACTTACCTGGTATCTGTACATTTGTTAAGGTCATCCAAACCCAAAACCCTGTAAGTCTCATAATTCACCTTTAAATTACCGGCGTATCCTTCCCCTTAGTACTCTTTCCTGGAAAATTTCCTGAACATAATTATGTCCAATCAATTGGGTTTCAGATCAATTCATACCTCCTATCTTACCAAAGTACTGGATACTGTAACACAATGTTAATTTAAACATAAACTCTGGAATGGTACTAACTGACGTCTTTGTCCATTCATGGCTCATAGGTATCACACATACACTGGGTTATCCTTGATATAGATTACCACACACCTTATAAGTAATTATCTGTCAACATTTTCTGACCAGGTACAAGTTCAGTCATCCTTAGGCAAAGGACGGGTGTTCCTTAGGTTTACATGCTGGGTCCTATTTTACAAGTTTATTAAAGTGAATAAAGACATCAAATCCGGACCATCAGCAATTTGTGGTTGATCTGTTATAAGGACAACACATATCGCTATGACATGAAAGAGTAGTCAATACAATTGGATATGATTTTTGAGTTGTGTTATATCGATAATTTACAAATAATTGAGAAAAGTTTTGGATGGAAATACAATTAATTATCTTATTAAATTACAAAACTCTAAACTAGAACACCTTTGCAAAATAATGTCATTGTGTAATTTATAGTAGTCAAATTAATCAACAGGAAAGCTCGAATCATTGTTGAGTTAACAATGTTCCATGCAATCAGTTCCCATGTATTTTCACCAGATTTTCTGGATAGAAAAAAGCCAGTTGCATCACGCCCCATCTTCACCTCGTTAACTTTTAAAGAAAGAAATTACGCATTTAATTAACTAAGCCGTCTGTGAGACGGAGTGATCCGCTCGTGAGAAAGGCGCGGAACGTTTCCGCAATATAATAAAACGGTGATTTTTCTCTCTAATTCCGTCACGCTCCCTGACGAATTGTTTATAACCGTGAACAATCAAATATTTCTGCGAAAAACAATCGCCGCCAGTTTGAAACGCGTGAGAAGAAGAGGTTTGATAGCCAAAAGGGACGATAATGATGACGGTTGTATAATAACGAGCTTCGTCTCAACTTCTGCTCGAAACGTCCTTTTATAATCAGCATATCCGTTACATGCCGATTAGTTTTAGCTGTCATTTAAAATAATTTATACATGTTGTGTTTCACAAATTTGCCATTTGTACACTGAAAACCTATACCTCACTGTTAATTAAAAAGAAAGTCCTTTTACATAATGGTTTTCAGAAATATTGAATCTTCGGGTTTCTTATTATATTCAAACATATTTATAAACTTCAACCTATTATAAAGATAATTATCAAGGCTGACAGTCTAACAGTAGGTATTCAATTTATCAAAAAAATGAGGTACTATACGTGATCAAACGTTAATAATAAATCATTAAAAGCCTATTTTTCTCAATTCTTCAAGAATATTGTCCACTTTAAAAGAATTTTGAAATGTTTTTTTTTTCGGCCGGCTAGCTGCCTGGGCTATTGCAGGCACCTCACATTTCTTCCACCACACGTTTTATAAATTTATTTATTTTTATTTATTTATTTATTTAATTTTTTTTCTTTTTTTTTAAATTAGCTTTTATGTAGGAAGTCTGGCGATCTTTCTGGTTGTGTTCTGGGACGTTATTTCTACATTTTTAGCACTCCCACACGTGGTGAAAAGGCTCTGATTCACTAACATTCAATCCTAGCCTAGCCTATAGGCGGGTTTCAGAGTACTCGATATTCCTCTGAAGACCCGCCCTCGTTCACGCTAATAAATACATCCATACATTATGTACAATTAAAATTACAATTAATCTAAAACCTTAACCTAGGTGGTGGGTTTATGGGGTACTTGATATTCCACCATAGACCCACCCATGCATACACTACTATTGCCCTAATAAATACATTCACTCAAACAGTAACCAATCATTCTGTATTTACAAATTAAAAAATGCGGAGCCACTGGCGCATTTAATATTACAACAGTGCCTCCGCCCATTCACTCTAAAAGATATTATAGCCTAATACTAACCTAAATCGGTGGGTCTGTGGGGTACTCGATATTCCGACCACTACCCACCCATACACTCACACATTCTCGCCAATAAATACACTCACTTCAGGAAGGGAAAATGAAACCACATGTGGAGAAGCCTTAAAGGCGACCATATGCATTTATTTGCTTCAGATATTTGATTACTTTCTTGCTGTTGTCATTGCTGTGTTGCAAAACCTCTTTCAAACTCGAGGAAAGGCCACACTTTTTCTGTGCGGCGCCAGTAGTTCGCATTCGGTTAGTAAATGTTTAACAGTTATTTGTGCGCCGCACAATGGGCATCTCCGTGGACCTTTCCTCGCCAAGAGATGACCATGCGTCAGTCTAGTGTGGCCTATTCGCAGTCGGGTCAAAATTATTCTCTCTGTTTTGCTCATACTATCCATGGCCCACGGTTTGACCGACTGTTTTAGTTCTTTTAGTTTGTCGGTCATTTTGTCCCAGCGGTTCTGCCAATCTTTCCAGCAAAGATTCTTCATTTATTTTTTGACATCCGCTGGGCTCACGGGAGTTTCCGGGTCATGTGGCATTATCGCTGCTCGTTTGGCAGCTTGATCGGCATTTTCATTACCTTCTATGCCGACATGGCCCGGTATCCAGGCAATAACTACCTCTTTTCTTTGTTCGTGTATTTCCCTGATTTTCTCTTGTATTGCCTGGATTAGTGGGTCCATGGTGAAGATATTACGGATGGCTAAGACCGCACTGAGTGAGTCGGTGCATATGACATATTGGTTGCACCCAATCTGTTCAGTTTCACTCAGCGCGGATGATATGGAGGTCAACTCTGCGGTAAAGATACTTGCAGCCTTTGGGAGAGGAATTGTTTTGGTGTGTTTTTCCCAGCGTACTGCGCTGCCGACCCCCTCACTGACCCTCGAACCGTCTGTATAAATGAAGGTTCCTTCACTGTATTCTTCTTTGAGGGCCAGGAATTTAGCTTTGAATACATATGGGGGGGTCTCTTCTTTCTTCAATTCCGCCATATCTACCCGTATAGGAATTGAGGAGAGCATCCAAGGTTCCTTCTTGGATTCTTTGATTTCCTTAACTTTAGGGATTGTAGCTCTCCTGCAGGCCAGTATCTCCTTCATCCTGATGCCTAATGGCCTAGTACGGGTACTTAGCATGGTGTACTCCTCGTCGCAGGCCGGATCGTACAGTACCTCTTTTCTAGCCCAGATATTGGCACAGTAGTTCATTATTAACTGAATTCTTTTTTGTTGTTGTTATTTATTGATATTTTATTTTTGTCTAAATTATGATCAGCAATAAATAAATATTCCGTGTAAGAGTTAGTTTTGCAGGATTTTCAGGCACCATTTTAGAAAAGCATGAAATTACAAATCAACAAAACCTGGAAAACCTGAGAGAATAAACTACCGAGATGATAGAAATGATGATTATAAACCAAGAAATTAGAAATAAACGAGATGATGTTTAGTGACATACCTCCATCACTCTCTCACTCCCTCTCTTCTTCTCAATCCAAATTAACTATATTTTCAAAAGTATAAAACTCTGTAATTTTGGACTTTAAGCCGATTATCTAATTTTATAGATGACAGCAAAATACACACAGAACATTAGAAAGATTAACTCTGATCTTCAAAATTTACAAATTTATAATAAATTCCAACTAATCCCAAAGAAAAGTAATGCTATTATATTTGGTCATTTCTAGCTACTAAGTAAATTCAATTTCATTTAATTAATGTTTTTATCGAAGGTTTTGGTTGAAATGAAAAAGTTAGTGCCACGAGCAGGATTCGAACCCACGACCTTCGGCTAAATACGCTGCTGCTTTATCACTTGAGCTATCGTGATAATCAAGTAGTTAGGGCTACTTATTAAATCCCGCTCGTGACACTAACTTTTTCATAAGTAATTGAAAGAAGTAATTTCGTCAATCAGACCACGAAATATAATGGATTTAATAAGTAAAACGAAGTATAACTTCATAAACCACTCCCCGTGGCCACTTCATCAGTCGCCGAGAAGCGAATCCCGATTACACGACATTTGAAAAATGGCAAAATGGAGGGAAAATACGAAAGTTTTTAGGTTGAGATGGGGAGTTGGTGTCGGAGTGGATCGAAGTCACGATAGCTCAAGTGGTAGAGCAGCGGCGTATTTACTCGAAGGTCGTGGGTTCGAATCCCGCTCGTGACACTATCTTTTTCATCTCGTCCAAGACTTACATACAAAGACTAATTAATTGAAAGAAGTAATTTGGCCAATAGACCACTAAATATAATGGATTTAAGATCAATGATTTTCATGATTTAACATTAATTCATCAATGATCATCATTGATTTAATATTACAATTAACAATGAAGTTATTCCGTACATCAAAATTTTTACTATTTTTGGAGTAACTCCAAGTAATATAATGTTCTCTCGTATGACCAAATGTTAAACTTAAAGCAGAAACTAAAAAGTTGATTATATTATATTCAATAAATGAAGTTCTAAAATATAAAAATAAACAATTGAAAACATCCTTTTACAAAACATTAATAATTCCTAAATTTCCAGACTCTCCTTCAATCATGAGAGGTATATCTACCACATTTACTGATTATATTAAAAAACTCTAACATAGATAAGCGTATAAACTTACATTAAATTTAAAATTGGATGATGGAATATATCGCTCATTTAATGCTCTAAACATATTGTGCGGCACTTAATAAAACTGTATTCATTCATTCTCTCCTCTGTGTTACCCACTGTTAACTTTCTTCCTCTCTCTGTCTTTATTTTTCTCTTTGTCTCCCTATGCTTGCACATCCTGTTCTTTCTGTAATACACTGTGCACACTTCATCTAACTCTTATTATTTTTTTAACTTCATACACCTCCCTTTCAATCTCTCCTTTCTCACACGCTCTCTCTCTCTCTCTCACACACACACACACACACACACACACACACACACACACACACACACACACACACACACACACACACACACGTGTACCTAAGCATACTAATATTTTACAGGAGTAGGGCCAAAATGAATGAATAAATGATAGTTTCTTTCAGTTATTACAACGGTTCTTATCAAACTTGAATTTTTAAATGACATATAAATCTATCAGCGTATGAAATGAACGTTAAAATTCATTTTAAACGTCCCATATTAAACGTAATTACAATTCAAGCTTCGAGACGCGCATCAAACAAATTTGCATACAATCTACCGATGTTGGGAATTTTTTGAAAAACAACACCTGTGCTGGTGTCCACTGTGATAAATGGTACACCTTTAATTTTACTGCCATGTAAAACCATTTCGTAGATTGTTCTCATCAATTATCGTCTTCTCATTTAAATAACTGTTCTGTCAGACAATGGCTCTTTTCAAATGTATTATACAATGTAGCAAGTTGAAAAACAGTGATAATATACATATAGAATAATAATATTTTCTAGATTTCTTATGATTATATAATATTATGATTTATAATATCATGACTACAATTTCTATATATGGAAATATGGCGTTTCTGAATGCAGGAGACAAGTCTTTAAAAGACTCTTCAATCATGTTGCTGAATTGCTGGATAGCATATGACATGAATCCTGGGCTACCTCTAATTGCTTCATTCTCAAATTTTGGATAAGTATAATAATTTAATATTAAAAAACATATTCAACTGCAGTGGATATTGACTGGAACAGATGTTGGTCAAAATCGATATAAAAAATATTTAAAAAAATACTCATACTTCGTTGGATCTTGGAAAACATTTTGCATTTTGATCATGTACAAAGCTTTGAGTTTGAGGTGAAAATGGAAAACTGTTTAGGAATATGAAATCGTAAATATCATAATCTGGACAGAAATGTTAAGAGGTGAACTTATTGCCTCACCCTGGTTGTACTTTCGACGACGCTCCATCCAATCAGGCGGCAGCTTTTGTTGAAGAAGTCTTAGATTACATTATGCAATTTTTATAATGCATTTTCGTAATTTAAAGAAAAATTACATATTGCAAAACCTTGTTAAGTTGGAATTTGCTTATATTGTGAAAACAGACGGGAAAAACCACAATATTATACTTTGAAAAAGAAATAACTTTTTCACTCTTTGGCGAGTCGACGTCAGCTACGGTGGCCTGGAACGTCTGGAGAAGCGAATAAATTATGTTTGCCAAGAACGTGATGGGGACATGAGTCCTTTGGCAATGTCCTCCTCGTACTAGCAACCGTTGCTAGTTTTTTTTTCTGTTTTGCCGTTTTATTTTTCTCTTTTAACCTTGTTTACCATGTAGGATGGAGTGTCCTTATTTTTCTGACCATTGTTGTTACACAGTCCTAACCCTAATCTTCTCGTTGAAGTTAAATTTTACAAAAATCCTCTCGTGTTACTGACCCTACATAAGAAATAGGATGATGGTAACATATTAACGCAGATAATTGGGGACTCACTAGTGGATGGGCTACGAAAGAAACAATTTTTTTACGAGAATCATAAAATAGAAATGATGAATCAATCCTTTTTAAAAAGATAATAAGTTGTTTTGCAATGATCCGGATTTCGAGGTTTTAGCTCATCGATAAACATCCCAGAATCATTAAATTCTAGACATACATAAATAATTGTTTCACTAAATTCTCTCTTACTGATTGTAATATTCGTCGTTTCATTATTTAAATCATTCAATTATTTAACGTCTTAAGTTGAGATAATAAAGTCAGTGTCACGAGCGGGATTCGAACCTACGATCTTCGGCTAGATACGCCATTGCTCTACCACTTGAGCTATCGTGACTTCGATCCCCTCGGACACTAACTTCCCATCTCAACCCCTCCTTTTTTGAATTTTCCCTCCTTTTTGCCACTTTTCATTATTTAAAAGTCACGTACAAAAGCAAAGAAATTACCACCAGTAGCCTTTATATAGTATAATTATAAAATGTGAACTATCTGAAATTTATTTTATAATATTTTTTTTGTATCTCTACTTTTTCATGACCGCAGGGTCTATGAGATGAAAGTTTGACGCGCTAACCGCCCCTACCGCAGTCCGCCATGTGTACATTTCATTCAAATTTCTTTTACTTTTTTTATTGAGAAAATATAAGAAACGATAAAATTATGACAGTAGCTTAGTGAATAGAGATCGGATTGGGGATGACTAAGCATTAAAATGACACGCCTGTTAAACCTGTTCGAGCTAAATTTGGCAACTTGTCTGTTTTGTTTTTTTATAAAAAAAACATTAAATATAGTGATTTAATAATAATTTAATGTATCAATAATTTTTTCAAATATTAACGATTATACACAACGTTTTCAATGAGGATTTTTGTAGGTTTAACGATAGAATTAGGCGAAGGACATGTAAAGAAGCTACTGAAGGATCTTTATCAGATTGGCCAGGACACTGCGGGGATTTTAACTTTTTTCCTTAAAGTTTTTAGTGGAATTTTTATGGCTTTGGTCGAACAGGTGATGTTCACGGGGCGCAGTGCGTTTCTCTACTCGGTCACGAAACAATAAACAGTTTTATTGGCGTCCCATCGGAAGGCGATCATTAGCCCATCCCATGATTTGAACGGCGCATTCTTCCGACGCCCACTTTGATTATTCGCATCTGTGCTTCTTTTTTCCCTATTTTTTGTCGGTTTTTAGGCGCCGGAAACACCAATTTGGGCAAGTAGGCCGTGGGATTAACTGGCAAAGATTTTTAAGCTTATTGTTTTACGATGGAACTGCCACAAATAATTCAATGCCCACGAAATAACGCTTTTACCAATTTTTCGACTTCAAAAGTTATAATTTGTTGTAAATTATAGGATATAAACACTCACCTGCCAATAAGCATTATTCGAAAGAGAGCGGGAGAGAGAATGAGTGAGAGAGGGAGAAAGACAGAGAGAAAGAGAGAGAGAGAGAGAGAGAGAGAGAGAGAGAGAGAGAAGAGGGAGAAAGAGAGAAGAGGGAGAGAGAGAGAGANAGAGAGAGAGAGAGAGAGAGAGAGAGAGAGAGAGAGAGAGAGAGAGAGAGAGAGAGAGAGAGACAGACACACAGGAAGAGGCCGAAGATAGAAAGAAGGCACCTTTTCCTTATTCATGCTGAAAACAACCGTTGAACAATCTGAAGTATTTGACTGCTCCATCAGACGCATTCCATCGCCCTGACTACTGAAGGACAACAGTTTGGAAGACCGGCCGGTCTTCTTGACGTGGA